GACTTCACTGCATTGTGTCTGTCTCTTACTAATTCATAGAGGTAGCATACTAGCTTAGAGAAGGATTGAGATTTGGACAGTGACATGTTTAGCCTTAAATCTCGGATTATGATTTGTGTCTTTCAGAATTCCTCAAGAGCAATCACTTTAACATAGATGGAGATTAACATCGATAACACAATACAATGAAGATATTTATTACCAAAATAAAGTACTTGAAAATAACTGAATCTAAATACTTTTTCTTTTTTTTCTTTGGTGGTACCAGGGACTGAACTCAAGACCTTGCACTTGCCAGGCAAGCACTTATTCCACTGAGCTATCTCCTCAGCCCTCAATAAATTTCTGCAAAAAACCTCTTTGGTATGTTATATATGTACTTGGAAAAGGATTATTTTATTTATAAGACATGAAATATCAAGCATAATAAATTAATTGCAGGCATTGCCCTCAAATTTTCATAAGCTGCCTTACACAATCTACAATAGCTTTTATTTTGTAAGTAGTTCATTTCACACATTTGAAATTTCAAATCATCTGTTAGCCCCAATATTTTCAGGTTTTGTCACTGACAGTGTTTTAGAATGCATCCAGCTCTAGTTCAGTCTGATGGCTTCTGCTTTTCCTGTTATGTCCCTGCTTTCTGTCATCGTGACTTCTTAGCTGCAGTTTTCAGATACTGAACTAACATTTTCAAGGAGGGGAAAGGTAACATGAGCCCCTGGCAGTGAGCAGGGTTGGGAAGCTGAACGGTGGGTAATCTTTTCTCTTTGCTTTAAGATCTCTGAAGCTCCTAGGCAATTAACTAAAAGTCCATATTCTAATAAAAAATAAATCTGTCTCGTATTACCTAGGCAATTTGTATGAGGACTTAGGTTGATTTTTTTTTTTTTTTTTTTTTTTTTTACTGCACTAAAATGAAATAATGCTTCAATCACTGCCAACTGAGATTAAAACACACATCCAAATCCATTGACACATTCAGGCTTAGCATAGCAGTTATAAGACAGTTATCAAATACATTGTGAGAACTCTCTTGATGGGACTTTTCTCATGTTTTTCTGTCTCAGCAATAGTTCGCTTCGGTGTCCCAATTATTCTTACCAACAATAGAGCGCTTTCTGGTCCGAACTGCACCACAGTCTCCATTGCATGGAGAAAATTTGGACCAGCTGGTAAGCTGACAGTCATCTTGGCAGGGGACCTGGCAAGCCTGGGTGAGAGCTGGCACGGGGCCGGCGTCCCGGAGGCATTCGTGGATCCCAGCCTGTCCTCCGTCTTGCTTTCGACAAGTAATGGCTAAAAAGAAGCAGAGTTCTAGTTACTGTGGAATGTGGAAATGACCATTTACTCAAACAGAGGAATCCTCTTTAAAATTCACTACTTATAGTCAGAATCCATCAGGAGTGTTTTTATAATCACAGTTGACACTGTATTGATCTGAAAGGTTTTTAAAATAGCACAGACTATAACCCTCTTGAAGCACCCACTCCCACATGCAGTTAGCAGCTTTTATCAGCTGTTATTGAAGTGTTGCCTTCATGTCACACGTGGGGTACATGTGGAAATGACGTTTGGGGTACATTTAGAGGTGAATGTTTTTCAGGAAACAAATCACACAGGATTCTGATGGTAGTTTATGTACAACAAAGGCCATTCACAAAAGTGCTGGGAGACAGCAGCTGCCCCTAGTGTCGCCCAGCATACCAGAGTGTCCACACCCTCCCTGTGGAAGGGCCTGGCTGTGGAACTTGCCTAGATGCTGCGGTGGCACATGTGCATGTCGACGCTGACATGCTGACGTCATTGTATTAGAAACACCGAGCAGATTTGTAGAGCAGACTCCTGGGCATGTCCCGCTGGTCACTGACATGTCGCTTGGTGTATTATGCATGTCTCTCCCTGCGACCACCTCTGGCGCTGCGCTCTGCTCCGCTCCTGGGTGGCCACGAACTGTGCAGCTCAGCCCTGCCGGACACTTCCACATGATGCTCTCGCTTTGGGGTCAGCTGATTACGAACTGGATCCCACAAACCTGGGATAAAATAGTCCTTCCTTCCTTCCTTCCTTCCTTCCTTCCTTCCTTCCTTAAAATAATTTTTAAAAATTATTTATTTACTTTTCCACTTATTTATTTGTTACAGTGTCTCCCTATGCAGTTCAGACTCCTAGTGATCATCTTGTCTCAGCCTTCCCAGCTCTGGGATTACAGCCGTGCACCAGGATGCACCCGGGTTTCTGGGCCTGGCACGGCATGCAGTACTGGGATTGATCTTGGGTCCTTGCATTTGCTGGGCAGGGGATTAAACCACTGAACTACCTCTCCAGCCAAGCCTGTCTTTCTTTAGACTGTCGGAGTTGGCTATGGAGTCTAGAAAGGCATAGAAAGCACTTTTTTCATTTTCTATATCACAGGTTTGCTAAGGTAGAACTGAAGAGATTAACGGAGGAGGCACTGTCCAAATTTCTGTCCCCTCTTTCCACAGGTTCTTCACATGTACAAGCCTCAAGCTGAATTTAAAAATAAAAATGGAAACACTGAACAATTTATCATATCAGTCGTACTATGATTACATAGAGACACCAACAACGATCAAATAATTTTAATTCACATATTATTTCTTCCAAAACATTATTCTAGTTAATTATCTAAAGCAAGAAATACTTTTAGCACTTACTGAGAATAGACATAGTATCATTTGAAGGGAATAGGTCTTCAGGACAAAGAACAAATAGAACTATGTTCCCCTTTCCCCTTTGCCACTTCCCTTATTCATTAATAAAGGTATTTCTTTCATTTACTGAAAAAGCAGATGATGTATTTAAACTTGGGCCTCATATTTCATTAAGAAGCCCGTTCAGACTGATTTATATGGCTTTTTCAGGCTTATGGCATAGGCTGACACTGCCTCTGATCATAGCCCTCCTCTGTAGTCTATCAAGATACGAAGGGAAAGAACCTGCCATTTGACACTAGATCGCAGTTAGGGCACTGGGTGAGGTCCCTGGGTGAGGCGGTGCTGTCTGCACTGTGAATCAAAGCTTAACAAGTGTAACCTCTGTGTGCAAAAGCATCTAACTTATATTTTTAGGAAGGGGAGATCTTCTGTGTAGGTGAACAAAACTTCATTCAAATGCTACAAGAAGTATACTAAAAGACCCTTCTTTACATAGAGGAATCATCTCCTATTTTTTTCTTTGATATCACTTGATTTGTATACCCATACACAGTAGGGCTCGTTTGTATGAAAAACAGGAGCACTTGTATTTTAAAGACAATACAACTTGCTAGAGAGGACATTACTATAGTGGCTCTTATATAGATTATGTGACAAGAAAAAAGCACCAATGTCACAAAAAGAATCTCATTGCTTGAGGAGGTAGTTGTCAGCTGTTTTGCTGTTTATCATAAGATTCGGAGTGGTTACGCTGTAGGGCTACAGATTATAATCAGCTGGCTTGGTTTTGAAAAATGCCTATGCTAAAATTGGCTGAAGTCAAACATTCTGATTTCCCTGGTTCAGGACAGGATCTTTGATATTAGTGGTGTTTAATAAAAGCTTTCTGGTAATGCAAATATGCAGGCTGGTTTAGAACTCCTCTTAGAGGTTGGGGAAGTTCAAAACTAGTAATCTGTTTCAGAACTACTCCTATTATAGGTAGTGCTCCTTTCACCGGCATCAGGAGCATCTGGAATTCAGGCTTGAGGTGAAAAAGTAGTGTTTGGGTATCTGGTCACCCTTGCACCATGCCAAGCTGTGGGAAAGAGTGGCAGACATGTATGCACCACAGGAGGCTCTAACTTGCAGTTCCAGGCAGCTGTCCAGGGGCTGGATCGGGAGGACTTCTCTATTTTTAAGGGATGCCATTTATAGTATGTTGTAGCAGGAATTCTTGTGATTTAGCTTAATAATACATTGATGTCATTTTGCAGTTCCTCCTATCATTTGGAAGCAGAAATGAGCATTTTAAACTTAGGAAGTTCCCATGGTTTGGGGAAAAGCATGCTCCAAAAGACATGTAGAGCCTCCAGAAATGATTAATTTGGAAAATAAAAGATTTGACAATATTAGAATCCTAAATGTTGAGGCCAGCCAAATAGTTCAGTGGATTAAAGCGCCTGCTTAGGCAGATCCAGGGGCCGGGAGTTGGATCCCTGGGACTGCCCTGCCAGCCCAACCCCCAGGGTGCACTGAGACAGTTAATGCGACTGGGCGTACTGGTGCGTGCCTGTAATCCCAGCTCTTGGGAGGCTGTAAACAGGAGAATCACTATGAGTCTGATCTACACAGTGAGACCCTGTGCACCCTGTACACCTTATTCTAAACACACACACACACACACACACACACACACACACACACACACAACCCAAAGCCCAAAACACCAAAAACATGGAATCCTAAATGTGAAGAAATTTGAATTGTTCATAACTTAAAAATCACATTACTAGGCTTAGGCAACTTTTGTCTACTACTGTGATTTAGCTCACTGAAACACTGACTTGGATATAAATCTTTTGACGAATTAAATGAAATTGCCTTGCGTTCTCCATTAAGGCTCTCACTCACAAATTTCATTTCAGAATTGCTCTATCATCATATGGAAAAATAATGCCATAACACTACCACTGGTACAAATACAATTCCAGAAACAAATTAATTTTCTTTTTATAGATTCACACTACTCACATAAATCAAAACCTTCATTCTCTATATCTTGTACTATATAAAATCAGAAGTACTTCAACTAGTTGAGAAAAATATTTTAAAAATATATAGAGGGCCGGGGAGATGGCTCAGTGGAATAA